GCTATTTATATAGCTTCACTCCTCTTTCCAGCTGCGTATCTTTACTAGGGAACCTCACGGACAACATCGAGCTTTTACCTTCAAAATTTAAGAACCCACAGCTCCAAACACTTATCAATGCTGAAGTCTCAATTGGCCAGCATTCCCTTTGTTGACACCGCCTCCCATAACAAGCACACGTCAGTGCACGCCATAATAACCAAATTATATATGCAAATTAGTGCATACCATAAGGATAAGGGCGACACCCACATATGTGACAAAAGGAAGGTTTAAGAAAACAAATTAATTAAGGGTTAATATTTTCGTATGACCTGAACTTTGACCAAAATAAACATCCTGGCCAATCTTTTTGATCTATAACATTCTGGCCCGAACTATACACCAAAATAAACAATTTGGCCAGATCCGACTTTTGACCGTTAACTTGGACAGTCAAACGCGTTGACCGTTAGTCAACGTGCCATGTCACTGCCAAGTCAACATAAAATATTTAAAATAATTCACAATTTCCACACATTCCCTAATTTTAAATTATTAAATTAAAAAAATCATCTAATACCTTAGTTAAACCAAAAATAAAAAACGAAAAAAAGTAAATATTTATCAGATCTTCTGACTTGGCAGTGATGAGGCAGTGACGTGGCGAGTTGACCGTTAGTCAACGCGTTTGACCGTCCAAGTTAACGGTCAAACATCGGGTTTGGCCAAATTGTTTATTTTGGTGTATAGTTCGGGCCAGGATGTTATACATCGAAAAGATTGGCCAGAATGTTTATTTTGGTCAAAGTTCAGGTCATACGAAAATATTAACCCATTAATTAAAGCAGGAAAGAGTCCCAAATTTTCCCTGCCACTCGGCCCGGGAAAGATCAAACTCGAAGAGTTGGACCTGAAATTCATTGGGCCAACAGAATTCCACAGAGTGAAGTGATCCACTTTGCTGGTGGAACATGGACGAGAGCAATTAATCGGACAGGGGAATTTTCCCATTTTAGCCCGGGACCTAATTGAGGGAGCAGTCGGAGCTTTTCCCCCTCGAGGGGGTCGGATACTATGCTAACCCCTAAAAGGGTAGTGATTTTCGACACCCTCCTTTTGGTTGGTCAGTTTTATACTTAATTATTAGACAAGTATTCATGGTTGTCCCAAATAAATATGGATGGAGAAAGGATTAACTGTCACATTAATTATGCACGGGAAGAGGGCAATTTAGCTAGATCCATGGATGGAAATTGTGGCGTTTCTACTCCCTTTCCCTTTGTTTCTATTTCCCCCTCCCTCCTCTGCTATTTCCCCTTGTTTCTTTCCATTGCCGTGGAGAACCATAGCTCTGGTTCATCACTACACGACTGGCGGGATCCATCAGTTTCAAAAATGGATGATTACATCGTCCAGTTGGATGGCGGAGGTCCCTGTGTACACAAGTCTGCCGGCAAACATTCCATCGGATTTGACCTCAACATAGAGTATACCAGCAACGACGACGATCTCTTAAAACTTGGGCAGTCCAACTACAACTCTTACCAACATCCTGAAGATCTGGACGATCCGGCCTCCGTGGAGCATGCACCTGATATCGTCGTTGCGAATGTCGAGCCCGTTGGAGTCGTGGAGGAACAACAGAATTGTCTTAGTAAGTACCACTGTAGTGGTATTTTTCATCATTGGTATTCTTTTACAATTTATTGCACAATTCCAAAAAGCTCTTCTGATACAATTTTGTTATAAACTCAGGTGTGGTTGGCACCGTGGTCCCAGAATACGAGTCGACATGGAAGCATTTGCGTTTTGAGGACGAGGATGAATTTATTAGGTTCTACAAGAATTTTGCTCATGGAAGAGGCTTCTCAGTTAGAAAGACTGGTGCAATTTACAAGAGAAGATCATACTTTCCACATCCATTTATATTTTACTTTGGAGGGAGGTGCAGCAAAGGGGGCTACAAAGAAGGTAGCATATTGGATCCTAAAAATAAAGAAGATGTCGTGGATTGTGACAGTGATAATGAAAAGGATAGGGGTGAGACTCGTTTTGGTTGCAAAGCAATTGCAAGGTCCAGGTATGAGCACAGCACCAGAAATTACAGAATTTATAAAGGGACGGACGTCCACGACCATGAGTTACATGATGAGGCCTCACGACGATTCTTGCGCTCGAATCGGGAAGTAACTGCTGAATATGCTTTTTTTGCAAAAATAAATGATGTTGTTGGGATCCCGGTTTCGAATACTTTTGATTCATTTGCTGCTGCGGCAGGAGGTAAGGAAAATCTGCCTTTTATTCAAACGGACTTGAAGAACTATATCCAAAAAACAAGGAAAAAGCCTTTCACCCGGGGCGAGGCTAACATGTTTCATCAGTATTTCAAGAGCAAGGCTAAATGTGACCCGTCCTATTTCAGCGAGATGCAAGTTGATGAGAAAGATGAGATTAACCATTTTTTTCGCTGACGGTAAAATGAGGTTTGATTACGAGTGTTTTGGGGATGCAATCAGTTTTGATACGACGTATTGTACCAACAATGGATGCAGACCATTAGGTACGTTAATCAGTGTTACCAACTATCAAAGTACTGATACATTTCATTTTTTTGGTAGTTTTCATCTGACTTTTGTGAATCATTGTCCATTGTTACAGCTTTATTTGTCGGCTTTAATAATCACAGAGAGCTGTGCATTTTTGGTGTGGGCCTGATGTGCGAGGAAACAGCAGAAAAATTTTCATGGCATTTCCAACAATTCCTTAAGTGTATGTCTGATAAGCAACCGGTTTCTATATTCACCGACCAGGCCAAAGAAATAGCGGTAGCAATAAAGAAACATTTCTTTGAGACATTCCATGGTCTTTGCACCTGGCATATTCATCAAAATGGGATGGTTCAACTTACCCTGCACTTTACAACTCTGGAGTAAGGCAAGAGATGCAAATCTTGATGTATAACGTTGACACGGAGGATGAATTCGATCATGTATGGACCAGCATGATCGAAACTTTTTTTCAAGGGAAAGGTCCAGACGGACATTGCTGGTTAGCGAAGCTACGTAAACACAGGTTTGTTTGTCCTTCTTTAATTGTTTTGTTTTCATTGGGTTATTATATAAGTACCACTCCAGTGATACGTTGTAGTGTTGTATCATGCTGACTATAAATGTAGTGGTAGTTTCTACCACTAACCGTATACTTTGTACCATATTTCACCATTGCAGGCACAAATGGTCTAGGCTGGGTCTGCGAGAGCATAGAACAAATGGAATGAGAAGCTCCCAACTCAGTGAATCATGCAACAACAACCTACCTCTAAAGTCAGACCACAACTACTCCCAATTTTTTGAGCAGTTCGACAGAATGCTTGAAAAGAAAAGAGAAAACGAAAAAGCAAGGGATTTACCTCCTGTGCGTTACTCAAAATGCCCATTTACCGACCAGGTAAAGAATTTGTACACATATAAAGTACTCAAAGAATTCCTAAATGAGTACGGGCAAAGTCTCGCATATTTGCTTTGTCCAAATGTTGCAAAAGACGAGGAGGGATGGATTGCATTTGACGTGTACACATTTGAAGGTGCTGGCTTCGATAAGACTGACGAGAGGACGGTCCACATCAAAATTGAAGAGCGGAAATTTAGATGTAGTTGCCACCATTTTGAAACATGGGGCTGGTTGTGTAAGCACATATTAAAAATAATGGACCACTTACGATCGCGACCGGAGACACAAGAACTGAAGGAGATCAACAAGGATTATATACTGAAAAGATGGACTAGGCATGCAAGGGAAGACATAGCTTTTAACCTACAACAACCTAGTCAACCGCAGGAATCTTCTTTAGTAGCAAGGGTAAAAAAGTTGACAGGGATGATGAATGTGATGGCCATCCGTCTTTCTTCAAATGACGAGGTTTACCAGATGTTACTTGAAGGCTTGGAGAAATTAAAGGTGTCTGGTGAGGAAATCGTGAATACTGCTGCAAGTAAGTTGTTATAGCATATACATGTACACTCATTTTTGTACCAATACACTGGTAGTTCTTACCGAACCCCCCCTCGAGGCGTTCTTCCTTTCTCCCTGCGGCCATATCGCAGGCGGCGATTTCTTTCTCCGGCTTGCTAAATTGATAGCCAGATTGTTGTTTCCTTGTTTATGTCGTCTTTTGCCCAAGGCCGTACATCTCGTCCCTATGCTGCAATAGGAACTCAAGCCTTCGGCCAGCAAGAGTTTCCCATCGCTGAGGGATAAAGCTAATTATGATTAGGGAACAAAATGGCTTCCTGCTTCTTTTGTCACTTCACGATTACCGCCCCAAAAAATATAAATTAGAAAACAATTGATTAATAAAGAGGTGATTCAACGAAATGGGAACTCTTTCGACGGGGTTGTCTCGGATCTGCTGTATCGATCCCGAATCATGACCGCCATCGACATATTGCAATTGCTTCGTCGTGGACAATAGGCAATTGAAACGTTCGAGCCAGAATCGGCATATCATGTTCTATACATAAAACAGCAACCACACGTATTAAAATTGTTAAAAATGAAACAGGAAAAATTAGGGTTACCGATATGGCTGAGTCGCGGACTAGGTCGCTCTCTTTAAGACGTTTGCGGCACTGCCTTCGTTGCGCACGGCAGACTATCAGCCGGTCGCCCCAGGATAAAACAGTCACTCTAAATTTGTTGCTCATCGGTTTTGTGCGAAAACCGGAGCTCTATGAACTCACTCTCTATCTCGTGTTTCTGCTCTCTGAGGTGCATTTAGAAGGTCTGGGGCGTCTCCTATTTATAGGAGCAGAAAACTCAGAATATTTCATCTTTCTTTGGGAATAAGTCATATTTTAATTAGGGAGATAATTACCCCATAATTAAAATATATTATATTAAAATAATTAATTCTAATTATCTCCATAATATTCTTTTTATTAATTATCCTTCTATTTCCGTAACTAGAAAGAATACTGGATAATTAATTCAATATAGCTTTCAAAGCTATTCATTCCCAACAACTAATGTTTAAAAAGATTGCATGATGTATTATATGGTTCATATGTGCTTTGATTAAAAAAAGAGCAGAAGCTATCCAACACAGGCATGGACGACCAATTTCAATTTCGTATTAACCACAATTACAAACTCATATAATATAGAGTTCACAATTTTCTACATTTATTGGAAATAAAGAAGAAATGGCTATCATCAACTAGGGGGAAAAAAGAGCTTTTATCTTGCTTTGCAGTTGTTTGTAGCTCTTGTTGTGTGCTGTCTAAAGTATACTGCAGTGGAGTTTTGACTTGCAAGTAAAGGTTGCAGGTGCTCAAGGAGCTAGGCTTTCTTTCCCTGGTAACCCCATGGGTTCTTGCTGGCCCAATTCCATTGGTCTCTACACATCTCCTCAATACCATGTTTTGCCCTGGAAAAGAAAATCCAAAAGTACCTATTAGGACCTCAAGTATAGCTCCAAGAGCCATAAATCAAACGTTCAACTGTTTCTCTACTAGCAATACACAAACCATTACTGATGACTCTCTCAAGAATCAAGATAGCATATAACAAGTAGTTAGGTAGCTTAAGATGTCAAAAGAACATACTTCCAGCCGAGCTCTTTTGCAGCTTTGTCAACAGCAGCATAAACAGCTGTAGCATCTCCAGCTCTTCTTGGGCATAGCTTCATTGGGATTTTCTGAGAAAGGTAAAATTTCACACCAAAAGTACTTTAAGCTCGGTCTTTGCTTCACTGTGAGGAAACAGAGGAGCAAAGGTACAGCACTAAGTGGAAGCACCAATCACCTTTCCAGAAGCCTTCTCGAACGCAGCAACCATTTCAAGTACGGATGTTCCTCGTCCCGTCCCCAAGTTATACGGAACACAACCTAAGAAGAGAGTGGACACAAGTTTCTTCATCTCAAGATCCGAATCAAATTATTAGAGTTTTGAATGCAAATATGACTGCCTGGTGCTCACCTTTGAAATCAGGAGTAAATAGCTTCTTAAGAGCAGCAATGTGACCATCTGCCAAGTCCATAACATGGATGTAGTCCCGTATCTGCCGAAAAAGCAATTCACTAAGCCAAGAAACAATGCTGATCTACATATTCTGATGGGTAAGGTTTTACAAGACGAAAAACTTACCGCTGTACCATCCCGCGTGGGATAATCATGACCATACACATTAAGCTCGGGGAGCCTACCAACAGCCACTTGCTGAATGTAGGGCATAAGATTGTTCGGGATGCCCTTAGGATCTTCACCTATTTTGCCACTTTCATGAGCTGCCACGGGATTGAAGTACCTCAGTAATATGATTTGCCAGTCCGATTCTGCTTGGGAGATATCTCGAGCAATCTCCTCCAGGAAAAGCTAGACAATTCCAAATCAAAAGAAATAAACTTGAAAGCAGATTTTGCAAAACCCAATTTCACCCTTTGCAATAACATGACTGGTAAAAGTACGAATAGATGAATTCTAACCTTAGTTCTACCATAAGGGTTCATGGCCTTCAACTCGGTGTCTTCCACACAAGGTATTTTCTCAGGTTGGCCATAAACAGTGGAAGATGAGGAGAACACCATCTACTCAATAAAATGATCAACAAAGTTATTCATTTCCTCAGGGGAAATAACTTCTAGGATTCAAGAAGCAGAAGTGGGGCGATCTACCTTCTTACAGTTATACTTCGCCATGACCTCATACAAGTTGATGGTTCCAATTAGATTATTGTCAAAGTAACGTCGAGGATATTCAACACTCTCCCCTACAGCCTTTCTGCCCGCAAAATGGATAACACCATCAAATCTGCAATTTTTTTGAAAAGTTTGAGAACAAAAGAAGGCACCATTACCGCCACATTCAACATCAGAAATTCAATTTTTAGAATTGTTAAACCTGAAGCAACGAAAACCAACTGGAACTATTTCAAAACGCAATTGACTTACTTTGACTTGGCGAACACCTTTTCCAGATCGTCCTTGTTTCTGAGATCAACCTGTAAAAAAAAAAGACCCCACCATAAAAAAAAAGTTAAATTCAGCTACGGAGACAGCAAAAGAACAACCGAAGGAAAATGAACAAACACCTTGTGCGCACATGCATTGCTACTCCATTGGACCAAAACCCATATTTCATTTTTCCGGCAGATTCCAGGGGAACCGAACAAAGGGACGAAGAGGGAAAACAAGAATCAACCATAGAAACAAAAAAACTCACAAAATGGAACTCGATCTTGGCAGCGAGAGCAGGACCCACGACTTCTTTGACCCTGTCGAGAGCTTCTTCGACGGAGTTATCAAAATTGTCGATGATGGAAACCCTGAAACCTTCTTTGAGCAGCTGGACCACCGTGTGGGTGCCGATGAATCCAGCGCCGCCGGTGACCAGAACCAATTTCCCCTCCATCTTCATTAAGACCCAACACTCAAAACCTCACCAAAAGGATCAAATAAAAGATTGTGTGACGAGAATTCAGCGAACCCAATGAAAGAAGATGAAGAGAACGGCTTGAGGAGGAGATATAAGAGTGAGGGTGGGAGAAGGAAGCTGACGCAGGCGGTGTGGGGGGATGTGGAAGTGAAAGAGTCGTAAGAGAGTAGGAAAAGAGTCAATTTTTATTTTCGGGTACGGGTTGGGAATTTTGTGGGCGTGGAAACCACTGAGAAAGAATCCATAACTGATTCGCTTCTCGAAGAAATCAAGAGAGACGACGAGGTGGTTTGGATTTTGTACGAGTGCGGATATGGTGACTAAGGGGGTGCTTAGTCACTTGACTAAGTCCCTCCTAGCCATTAGATCTGGACACATCAATCCAATGGTTAAAAAGTGGGAAGAGCTATTTAATTAATAGCAGGGGTAGTTTTGGTATTATGAAAAATTACGAAGTATACAAACCGGATTTACAATCAGTACAAACCATACAAACATACGAACAGTACAAACTAGAGCGACAAAACATACAAACATTACAAACGTATGAACTGTACAAACAATACAAACTAGACCGACAAACAATACAAACCATACAAACATACGAACAGTACAAACTAGAGCGACAAAACATACAAACATTACAAACGTATGAACTGTACAAACAATACAAACTAGACTGACAAACAATACAAACCATACAAAAAGAAAAAACACCCGGGTTGACTTTGGAGGCTCCATCCCTATATAGAGGGGCTCCTTCCCAAAGTCAACCCGGGTGTTTTTTAGACATACAAACAGTACGAATATGGTGGACAAAAATGACAAACTAGACCGACAATCCATACGAATGGGAAAAAACACCCGGGTTGACTTTGGAGGCTCCATCCCTATATAGAGGGGCTCCTTCCCAAAGTCAACCCGGGTGTTTTTTCCCATGGTGCACAAAAATGACAAAGTTTACAAACATGGTGCATAAAAATAACAAAGTTTACAAACATTACAAAAAAAAAAACGACAAACATTACAAAATAACAAAGCATACAAACATTACAAAATATGTCAACAAACATCACAAAATTAGCACTGTCGCCGGGAAATTTTTCCAGACCAAAAAAATCTCTCTCTCTCTCTCTCTCTCTCTCTCTCTCTCTCTCTCTCTCTCTCTCTCTCTCTCTCTCTGGTGGGAAAGAATTAATTCCCAGAACTCTCTCCTTGGGGAATAAATTCCCAAAAAGTGACCGCATGGAATTCTAGGTCGGCGATGGCGGATGCCCGGTGGGGAAAAAGAAAAAACGAGACGGACGGCAGGGGCCAGGGAGAGAAGAGCCGGAAAAAAAAATTAATAATTGAAAATAAAAATAATCATGAACTTACAGTTTTGCCCTTCATTAAAGTAGATTAATTGTAGACATTAGATTTTAATGAGATGGAAGGGCTGAGATTTACTTAGTCATGTGACTAAGGGTCCCCCTTAGTCACCTGATCTTAGCCCCAGAGAGAGGTCTCTCGGGTAAAATCTCGGCTGCTATTTTGGCGCGATTTTCACTCTTTATTTTCTCGGTTTTCTTTTTCTTCTTCAGTTCTTCTTGATCAATTGGTCTCCTGCCAGCGCCCGTTTCTTACAAAAAAAAAAAATATAAAAAAAGAAAATGGTCTCCTGCCAGCGGGAGCTAATCAAGATTTCTTGAAATTTTGTGAGAACATAAAATGATGAGCTAATTATATATTGAAAATTTATCTAAATATGGACCAACAGATTTCGGGTTGTCGTTATGAAAAGAAAAAACTTTCTACTTTCTAGTTCTCATTATTCAATTTTGTTTTATGTTTTAGTATTGCAACAATAACATATCACATTTTTAACAAGTTATACAAAAAACAAATGTTTTTTTTTTCGACAATACAAAAAACAAATGTTTATACGAGATGCAAAATCATCACAATCACTCACATACCACAGTCTGATTGAGAAATTTTACAATGCTATGTAGTATTGGTGCTATAGGGTTTTGCCTTTATGCTACAACTTAAAATTGTACATTTACGTTATGGTACAACTTCATATTGTACCTATACTTTTTTGTACAAATTCTTTTATGGTAACACTTGAACTTGTACCTTTATGTGATAGTACAACTTCAAGTTGTAAAGTTGTACCATAACATAATGGTACAAATTGTTTTATGGTACAACCTAAACCTATACATATAATGTTATGGTACAACTTTAAGTTGTACATTAAAACACCAATACTATATCGCATAGTAGAAGTGCTCCAGTCTGGTTATCTATTGAGCATAAAAAAAGTTTTAACACGACATCTCTGGTAACTTCGTTCAGTAAAATAACCAAGTTCCTCAACAGAACTCTAGTAATGTTGTGACATTGATCGTGTCGTTGATCAAATCTTGTTTAAAACAAATAAACCTATACTTCGAATATAGGGATAAGATTAAGGAGGATGCTTCTCCTTTGCATCATCGTGAACTAAATGTGAACTGTTAGGTTAATTTGGTTGACTTGCTTTTTTCCTTTGCCAATTGGACAATTATTCACATTTGCTAATTCGGTTGGTTTTTATATATTATCGCTTTGTTATCTTATCATATCTTCCACTTGGAAGTACGGGTGAAAAAGCAACTGCGTGAGTTTTTTTTTTTTTATAATTCATCTGTATTCCAAAATTAAAGATCAGTGACTGCATTGCTCTCTCTGAAAAGTAAAGTGATCATAAAGACAGGTGGCTTATCCATCCACATTTCAGTTTCTTCAACTCTTCCTTTCAATCGTGTCATCCCATGGGCACATTCATTTCCCTCCCTCTTCCAGAATCTCCACCCAACATTTCCACTTTCCTCCGCTATCTCACGAATTTCATCACAAATCATCGCCACCTCCATGTCTGTGGTCTCCCGCCGATTAAGCTTCTGAATTAGGGTTTGGCAGACCGACTCCAGCAGCAGCGCTTGGGGTTGGCGAGCTCGAGCTAATTGCAGTCCCCACAGCATCGTCTTCGCCTCCGCCAGTTCAACCGACCATCGCACTCTCGTCTGGTGAGTAGCTCCCATGATGAAATTGCCATTACTATCTCTTAAAACCATTCCATAACATGTTCCTTCTTCACCTAGGATCGCCGCGTCTGTGTTCAGCTTGAGGACGCCCGCAGGTGGAGGCTCCCAATTCTCCCTAGTTCGGGTTCTTGGCGCTGGAGGTCCTGGGTTGCCCTGGCCTTGTTGCTCCGCGTCCTCTTCCAGGTAATTCTAGGCTTTCCCCACAATCTCTCATTCTTCTAGCTTAGGGTTGTTGAAGAGATGGTTGTTGCGCTCTTTCCAGAGGAACCAGAGCGTGATTAGCACTTTAGTTAGCTCTTCCTTGTTTGCTTCCTCTAGCAGATCACATAACCAAGTCTCGCAGTTTTTCCCTTCCCCCATCTGAAAGAATTTTGCCAGGTTACTAGGTCTCCATACCCTTCCTGCCCAATCGCATTCCCTTGTGATATGCTCTTGAGTTTCCAATAGCCGACAGAAAGGGCACTCATCAAATGCATCTTTAATTCGTCGACTTAGGTTGACACCTGTTGGTAGGATGTTACTTCCCCACCTCCAAACAAATATACGAACCTTTGGTGGCACTCAAGCATCCATAGATGCTTCCAATCTACAGGCACATAGTTCTCAATTTGGTTTGTAGCTTGTGCCTTCCTCCACTCCTTATATCCTGATCTGACTGTGTATTTGCCAGTCTTCTCTCTTCCCCAAATCTGTACATCAGGTCTAGGTTGGGGGGGGGGGCGGTATTGGGATCTGCTCAATTCGAAACCTGTCATTTGGTTGGAAATGGGATTGCAGTAGGTTGCTTTTCCATGACCTTGTTTCCCAATCGATCAGACTTGATACCCTCTCCGTGATCCCAGCCCTGTCGCTTGTGATTGGATTTTGAAATTTTTTGCCTCTAGGATCCAGCGATCCCACCAGATTCGAATGTCTTCTCTATTTCCCACCCTCCATCGTGTACCTTCTCTCACCAGGGATTGAGCCTGCATGAGGCTTCTCCAAATGTAGCTAGGATTTGATCCCACTGACGCCTCCAGAACACCACAGTGTGGATAGTAACGGGCTTTTAGGACTCTTGCCACTAGTGACTCAGGTTTCTTTAGGAGATTTCAAACATGCCTTCCAAGTAATGCAATATTAAACCCTTGCAAGTCTCTAAAACCCATTCCACCCTCATATTTAGGGCGACATAACTTATCCCAACTCATCCAATGGATTCTCCGTTCCTCCCTCTTTCTTCCCCACCAAAAACTTGCAATCATTTTTTGAATTTCTTGTATAACACCTTGGGGTACCTTGAAAACTGACATAGCATATAAAGTTTGAGCTTGTGCCACTGCCTTCATAAGTACCTCCTTGACTGCCATAGACAAAAGTTTCAACTTCCACATCTTGATTTTGTCTCTTACTCGATCAATTAGCTGTGCAAAAACAACCTTTTTGGCTCGGCCAATAACTGTTGGGAGCCCTAACTATTTATCATGGTACATGACCCTTTTCATTTCTAGGATGTCTCCCATTAATCTTCTGTCTTCTTCAAGAACATTAGTACTGAATGAAAGCTCCGATTTGACTAGGCTTACTTGCTGTCCACAGGCTAGCTCATAGGTGCGTAGCAAATCCCTTAGAGCTTCTCCTTGTTCTTTCTTGTTCTCGAAGAAAAATATACTGTCATCCGCGAAGAATAAGTGAGTAATCATTGGACCATTACTACTCACTTTAATTCCTCGAATATTTCCTTCCTCAACTGCTCTTTTTGTGAGGGCTGATAGCCCTTCTGCACATAATAGGAAAAGATAGGGGGAAATAGGGTCCCCCTGCCTTAGCCCCCTGTTGGTTTAAAAATCGGGGTTTGATGCCCATTAATCAAGGCAGCATAACTCACACTAGTAACACAATTCATCACCATTCGTACCCAATCTTCATGAAATCCCAATCTCAACATTATGCCTTCAAGAAACTTTCACTCTACTCGATCATATGCTTTGGCTATGTCGATTTTTGCTGCTACAAAACCCTTCTTCCCAGTCTTCCTGTTTTTCATTGCATGAAAACATTCAAAACCAATCATTATATTGTCTGTGATGTTTCTGCCGGGCACAAATGCACTTTGAGTATCAGTGATGATTTCATCAAGCACTGATTTTTATCGATTAGCCAGAACCTTTGACAATATCTTATAAAGCACTCTGCATAGAGCAATTGGTCGAAATTCCTTCGGAGTGACTGGCTTCTTTGTCTTGGGTATCATTGCTAGCAGAGTATGATTTAGGGAGGGAGGGACCTCACCTGTTAGCAGGATTCTCTGTAGTTCTAAGCAGACAGTGTCCCCAACTGTGGCCCAATTCTTTTGAAAAAAGAAGGCTGGCATTCCATCAAAGCCAGGAGCTTTGGTGGGTGCCATTTTAGAAAGAGCATCATAGATTTCCTCCCTAGAGAAAGGTTTCATTAGTTCATGATTCATTTGGGCTGTAATCTTAGGTTCTACCACATCAAGAACCTCATGGATACTGGGAGTTTGCTCAGCTGTGAAGAGCTGATGTAGATGTCCATTAAAACAGCTCATTACTTCATCCTGCCCCCTATAAATAGTTTCATCTTCCCCCTGTAATTCCTTGATTGTGTTTCTACGCTTTCTGTTCGAAGCCTTCTGATGGAAAAAGCCAGTGTTCTTATCCCCTTCCTTTAGCAAATCTGATCTCGACCTCTGCTTCCATCTTATTTCCTCCAAATCCAGCACTTCATTCAGTTCTCTCTCCAATGCACTGCATTGGATGAGCACAACCTTGTTTTTTTTTAATTTTGAGAGTTTGGCCAGAGCTCTCTCAATTCTCTTTCTCCTAACTCTCAGGCTCCCAAAGGTTTTCCGTCCCCACTCTATTAGAAATTTTTAACAATTTTTTATTCTGCCTTCTAGGGGTAGGTCTGGATCCCTCTGCCACTCAGCCTCAATGATAGAGGCACAGTCTTCATGCTTCTGCCAAAATGCTTCAAACTTGAAATGCCATCCCCATTTCACTTGTTTCTCCTGAAGATTTAGCTCTATTTTAATGGGCGTGTGATCTGACACCCACCTATCCAAATGATAAACCCGAGCTTCTGTGAACTCAGCCCTCCATTCTGCATTAGCTACTGCTCGATCAAGTCGTTGTTCAAGAAAATCTTCATCAATTTTTCCATTATCCCTCGTGAACATGTTCCCATAATACCCCAAATCCTCCAGGTGACACTCATCTAATGTTGCTTGAAACTCCTCCATGTTCTGGACATCAAGAGGGTTCCTGCCATTCTTTTCCTCGTGGCTTAACACCTGGTTAAAATCTCCACATAACACCCAAGGTAGGTCAGATTGACCATGAAGTCGTTTTTATCATACCCCAAGTTTGGGGCTTGTTCTCCTATTCTGGCCATCCATAAATCCCTGTCAATCTCCATTTCTTCCCTTCTGTACCTTCAGTAATCCAGACATCAATGTGATTTTGAGTAGCTGCCTTAACTTCAACTTGCAGCTCCTCCTTCCACATCATTATCAATCCTCCTGCTCTGTTTCTAGATCCCACACCTTTACCTCTTGTCCAGCCCAGTTTTTTATCGTTTCCTCCCATT